TTTGAGATCTCATTTCAGAAGAACGGCATGAAGTCTTCAGCCACAGTTGTGATGGTTGTAGATGCTCACAATTGTGCATTCTTAGGGTTTTTCCATCCCTGGGGTTTGCAAGTTGTTCACTTAAAACATTCTTTAAAGTTGGCTTCTTGTTTGCAAGCCAGCTGATATGGTAGCAACCAAAGATTCCAGTGTTTGAGCATATGAAAGACTGCCTGCTTACCTGTGCTAGAAATAACAGCATCTAAAGTGAAGACTTACAAAAAATTTAGTGACTGCTAGATTATCCTTAGGACTCTACATTAACTCTATAATGTTCTTGGTATTGAAAAAAAAAAAAAAAAGCATACTTGTCACAGAAGTTTAGTTAACATCTTACAACTGAATATGTATGTATGTTGCTTAGATATGTAATCACTGTAAACATCTATGATCTGGGATTTTGTTTTTATTTTGAAATGGGAGCTTTTTTGTTTACAAGTTCATTAAAAACTAAAAACTTTCTGTAAGGAAATGAGATTTTTTTTTTAAAAAAACAAAATGCCTTGCTGACTCTATGACATAAAAATCTTCCCAGTTTTTTGATAGACTACTCCAAGCCATTTGTTACATGATACACTCCTTTGCAAGTTGTTTTAAGATTTACTGTTTAAAGTTCTTTTTTAATTTAAAGGGTTGGGTTTTTTTTTCCCTGTTGGTATAAAAAACAAGGCTTTTTTTTTTTTTTTTTTTTTAAATGACTTGCAGGCACAGTACCTAATACTGCCTCTGCTGGAACTTGACCTTGTAATTCTTGCTGCCACTGACTTAACAGCTGGACTGATTTTGAATAAGAATGAAAGCGTTAAAGGGTTTGACTACAAAATGCTTTTCTATAAAATACTTCTGCAATGGCTATAAGTACTTGACTCAGCCTCAGAGAGTGTCTCACTGTGTGAAGTTCAAGTGATTCTCGATCCTCTACCCCCAGCCGCTTCTGTAGGTTACCTGTGCGCGTGCTTCTCAATCTCATTTACGCGCTGTTTTTGTCTGATACAGAGACAGGAAAATTTAATAATTCTTTAAATACTGTAATTTATTCATTTATAGCATGTCAGGATAAATTAAAAGAACAGTAGTCTGAAATGCTACCAGGAGCTTATTGTGTGAATATAGATAGGTGTTTTACTTAAACTAACCGCGAAACTAATTTGACTTGTTTGGTCAGATTGTCTTAGGTTTAATTTTGAGATTTTTAAAGAACTTTTTTCCTTTATTTAATTTTACAACTATTTTAGCAATAATTCCATAATTGCCACATTCTGCCATTAATGGATATATTGGTACCCTAATATGGAAGAAGTCTTAGTCTGAACTTTGGGGTAGGCAGCTTATTTTTTCTTTTCTAACCACTCTTGTCAGTTAAGGTGTTTTTTTCTTGACTTATAAAACCCTTTGATACTTTTAGCCAGAAATCAGTCTCATAAAGCTATTTTTGAGTAGAATTTGTGTAAAATAAAACCGTTTAGCTTTGGTAATAATAACTTTTCCAAGCTGAACTCCCTCTCTAGCAAGATATTTTTCAGTGCTTTTATTTACTATGCACTTAGACTATGCACTTTTTCTGAAATATTTTTGTAACACTTTTTTGTATTTTTGCCATTTGAAAAGGTTGTGGTGTAGTTGGTCTGTAATTAAGTTGCAGATTTAAACCTGCTGTTAGCTTTGTAAATCAAAATATAGGCGTTTTTGTCCTGGTATATTGTTATTCCATCTGCAGCTGGAGCTGGAATCCCATTGATCTTCTAGCTACCATTCATTTTCTGCACAATTCACAAAAGAAGATTGTGAAATTCAGTGAATGCTGTTACTAATCCTGTCGGGAGATGAATCTCATTTCACCAAAATTAAATTATGTTTTTCCACAAAATGAGACAAGTTGAAGACACATCACTCTGAAATTGGAAGACCTCGCCACTTTTAAGGCTCTACAGTGGCTTACTCAGCTGAACTCTAGGTTACTGCTCTTTACTTTGTTCGCCCATTGGGGGGTGCAGTTTTTTAAATGTTGGGAGATGGCCCTTCTAACTACTGTTGAATGTCTCTGTTTTGGGAAGGTATAAGAAGAAAATAAAAATATATATATGAAGGGAGAGACTGGTTATCTCCTCCCACATGGTTGTGCTTATCCACTTAAGGCATACAAAAGAATATTTGGAGTTTTGCTTTTACTTGATTTATCACCAACAAATGTTTTTATTAAGAGATTTTCGAACATCTAGCCTTTGGAATACTGAGAATATTGACTGTCTTAAGTAGAACACACTAATAATTACATGCTTAATTCCATTATAGTGTCACATAGTTTTAGAACTGAAGCCAGCTAGTTTTTCCTAAGGGTTGCATAGAAAAGGATACTTTCTAAGCCAGGTGTGGTGACACTTGTAATCCCAGCCACTCAGGAGACTGAGGCAGAAACAAGTGTGAGGCCAACCTAGGTAACATAGTAAGGTCTTGTCTTGCCTTGAAAATGAACTGGAGAATCCTAGGAAGAACATTTCTATGAGTGGCTCTTTTCCAGTGAGCCCAGGACAGTTTGGCAGTAGCAATATTTTATGCTTGCTAGTTTTTAAAACATAATATGACCAAGATGTGAAAGGATCTGTGTAAAGTAGTCGAGTATTGTGAACATAAATTTATTCCAGCTGTGCAGTCCTGGCAGCGCTGGGAATGGGATAGCACCTAAACTGTTAGTACTGAGCTGTGTTCATGACCCATTCTGTCTCCCTGGAAAGAGCCTGGGATGGCTGGGTGTGGAGGTGCATGCCTGTAATCCCAGGACTTGGGAAGCTGAGGCAGGAGGATGGCCGTGAGTTCTAGCCCAGCCTAGGCTGTCTGAAGGGGTTCAGGAGTTTAGGAGTTTTTTAGTATGCTTTCTAAGCAGCCAGAGATGGTAATAAACTAAATTGACAAGACTGTGTATTTAGGGTTTAATCAGTACAGTGATTTTTTTTCTTTTTTCCTTGCGGAACCGGGGATTGAACTCAGGCCGTTGTGCTTGCCAGGGAAGCGCTTATTCCACTGAGCCATCGCCCTGGCCCAGTGATTTGTTTTCTGAAGTGATTTGCTAGATGACTCTTCAGGACATCTTTTAAAAGTGGAGTAATGGTGATGTCCAGCAACAAGAGCTATTGCAGTAAGTAGCTGACCAAGTCATGAGAACCACAGAGAAGGGCGTGAGGGAGAGATACAGAGTAAACAGGCCATTCCATTGTGCCAGAAATGAGATTACAAAATATAGTGGGTCCCCATGCAGACACAGGACCTGCTTGGAGGGTTCAGGGTGGCCAAGTCTGAGTCCATTACATTGCCAAAGTCACGCTAGCAGTGGTATATAGCTCATTGTATAACACCCATAATTCTGAGAGTGCCTCTTAAAAGGCCCAACTAGTAAAGGGAGTAGTGTGATGACAGACTCTGGAATCCTTGTGTACATTATCTTGATCTTCAGAATGATCGTGAAACTTATTTCTGTAAGAAAAGGAATGTTTGAAGAAATTGAAGCAGAGGTGAGGCACTGTGGTACAATTTGTAGGGCAAGACCTGACTTCAGCGTTCATACAGTTGAAGTGATGATCCTTCTCGCCCTTTGTTTCTCATGCCAGGAGCCAAACTGCACCTTATGTTTGCGAGGCAGGTGCTTGTTCTGCAGAGTATCATCTGCAACATTTTTCATCCTTTTTTTTTTTTTTTTCCTGGAACTGGGGATTGAACTCAGATCCTTGCATTTGCCAGTCAAGCGCTTATCCTACTGAGCCATTTCCCCGGCCCATTTTTCATCCTTTTAAACCAATATTGGTAATCCAAGCTATGTGCTATTAGATGCTTTATGGCAAGAGCTATTTTAAGTGCTTCCCTTTACATGTATCAATTAGTTTTGCCTGTTTTAGCACACATGAGTATGCCAAGGCATAATGGGACAAGTAATGAAGTTTCGTTTATGTGATGGAATTAAGAGTGTGGGTGTGCTGGCAGTGATTAAAGCTGAACCCAAGTACACTCCCACTGAACTACATCCCCAGCCCTAAGACTGGGTTAAGATTTCATTGTAGTTCCTTTTTGTTAGATGTTAAGTAATGTTTTTGGTATCATTTAAGGGGAAGTGCTGTAACTTAAGTTGCAGACAGTTTAGCATATGCGAGAGCCAGGGATTTATCAACACAAAAATTGGCTGTAAATGAGGCTTAAACTGAAGGTTAAGAAAGCTTAGACTATATCAACACAGAAACTCAAATGGTTAGCAGAGACCATCTGTAATTAACAAATGGGTGTTTTCTATGTCCCAAACTTCTAGGCGTTTTACACAAGGGTAGGCAGTCACCTCCCTGTGCTCATACCCAGGAAGTAAAGAGCATCTTGAATGGATGTAAGTAGGCTTGAGGTGTCTTAGCTGTTTCTTTGTACTGTTTGGTTTTGGTTTTGGTTTTTTGTTTGAGATGGTTTCACTGTAGTTCAGGCTGGCCTCAAATTGACTTTGTAACCCAAACTGGCCTAGAATTCAGTTATCCTCCTGCCTTAGTGATTACAGGTGTGTGTTACCTACCATTCCCAGCTATAGCACTTTTTGTACATTTGCTTAGAACATGTTTACCTTCTGATCGTGAGGTAATTTACCAAATGGAAACTGAGTCAGCTATATGCAAAAGGCTGTTATGTGGTAAGGGGGGTTAAGGTGAGGGATATTGACAGTTTAATCTGAGGCAACAGAGGACTGGCTTTAGGAGTCTAAGGAGCTGTGACACTGTACTATGGAAGTAATTGTGTTCTTTAGGGCCTTTGGCCTTCAGACAGCAAAGGTTCACCCTTTCATAAGGAGTCATACCCTTTAGCCACACG